CACAAATAATATAAAATACCTTGGGGGTACTAGAACTAAGCAAGTGAAAGACCTGTATGATTAAAAACTTTAAGTCTCTGAAGAAAGAAATTGAAGAAGATATCAGAAAATGGAAATATCTCCCATGCTCATGGACAGATAGGATTAACATAGTAAAAATGGCAATCTTACCAAAAGAAATCTACAGATTTAATGCAATACCCGTCAAAATCCCAACACAATTCTTCACAGACCTGGAAAGAACAATACTTAACTTTATATGAAAACAAAAAACCCAGGATCTCTAAAACTATCCCCTATAGTAAAGCAAACTCCGGAGGCATCACAATCCCTGATGTCAAGCTCTACTGTAGAGCTATAGTAATAAAAGCAGCTTGGTACTGGCATAAACACTGACATGTGGAGCAGTGGAATTGAGTTGAAGATTCTTACATTAGTCTGCACACCTATGAACACCTGATTTTAGACAAAGAAGCCAAAACTGTACCATGGAGAAAAGAAAGCATCTGCAACAAATGGTGCGGGCATAATTGGATGTCAACATGTAGAAGATTGCAGTTCGATCCATATCTGTCACCATGCACAAAACTCAAGTCCAAGTGGATCAAATACTTCAACATAAATCCAATTACACTGAACTTGATAGAAGAGAAAATAGGAAATAGTCTTGAACACATTACCATCGGAGATCATTTCCTGAATATGACACCAGTAGTACAGACATTGAGAGCAACAATTAATCAATGGGACCTCCTGAAACTGAGAAGCTTTTGTATGGCAAAGACATGGTCAATAAGACAAAATGACAGCCTAAAGAATGGAAAAAGATCTTCACTAACCCCATATCTGACAGAGGAGTGATCTCCAAAATATATAAAAACTCAAGAAACTAGACATCATAATACCTAACAGTCCAATTAAAAATGGGCTATAGAGCTAAACAGAGATTTCTGAACAGTAGAATCTTAAAAGGCTGAAAGACATTTAAGGAATTGCTCAACATCCTTAGTCATCAGGGAAATACAAATCAAAACAATTCTGAGATACCATCTTACATCTGTCAGAATGAGTATGATCACAAACACTGAAGACAGCTATGTTAAATAGGATGTGGAGCAAAGGGACCTCTCCTACACTGTTGGTATGAATGCAAACTTGTACAGCCACTCTGGAAATCAGTATGGCAGTTTCTCTGAAAATTGGGAATCAATCTGCCTCAAGACCCAGCCATACCACTCTTGGGCATATACCCAAGGAATACTCATCTTACCACAAGGACACATGCTCAACTATGTTCATAGCAGCATTGTTCATAATAGCCAGAACCTGGAAACAACCTAGATGCCCCTCAGTTGAAGAATGGATAAAGAAAATGTGGCATATATACACAATGGAGTACTACTCAGCAGAGAAAAACATTTATATCATGAGGTTTGCAGGCAAATGGATGAAACCAAAAAATATCATCCTGAGTGAGGTCATTCACACTCAGAAGGACAAACATGGTATGTACACACTCATAAGTGGATAGTAGATGTAAGGCAAAGGATAACCAGACTACAACCCATAGCTCCAGAAAAACTAGCTAACAAGGAGGACCCTAAGAGAGACACATAGATAGCCCAGTAAAGGAAAAATAGATGATATCTACATGAGCAAACTCTGAGTGAGGGGGATTAATGGAGGGCAAAGAATGAGGGATGAGAACATAAGGAAATGGAATGTTTAAGCTGAAACAAGGCCAGAGTGGGAGAGCAAGGAGAGAGATACCATGATAGATGGAGACATCATGAGAACAGGAAGAAAGAGGTGCTAGGGAAATTCCCAAGAATCCACAAGGATGACCCCACCTTAGACTTCTAGCAATAGTGGAGAGGGTGCCAGAACTGGTCTACTCCAGTAACCAGATTAGTGAACACCCTAGTTGTCCTCATAGAGACTTCATCTCGTTACTGATGGAAGCAGATGCAGAGATCCATGGCTGGGTGCCAGGCTGAGCTTCAGGAATCCAGTTGACGAGAGAGAGGAGGGATTCTGTAAGTGAGGGACATCAAGATCATGTTGGAAACACA